CTCTCTCTAAATATATGTTTTTCTTCTTTTAAATTATTAAAAATTATTAAAAGTTGGATGTAGTAGTTAACTAAAATAGAAAATATCATTGGAGTAAATTTATAAAAATGAATAATTAAAATAGTGAATATAATATTTAAATATATTTTAATTAATTATTTTAAAGAGTAAGATTGAAAATACTCTTAATCATCAATAAATATCAAATATGCCAAAAATCACGTCGACTACACAAAAGCCTGCCATACCAAGCGAAAAAGCAAAACACAAGCCTGGCCATCAAATGATGATGACCCTTGAAAGTGAACGGGTCTCTTTCACTTCCGAGGAGATCCGTTCACAAAAGAAAGAGAAAGAAAGCAAAAGAGTCATGCATGTGCTCATTGCTGACATAATGTGATGTTTATGTATGAATTTGATTTACTCCTCATAGCTGTACACAAAATTCAACAAAATTATTGTGTTTAAGTTTAATTTTAACATATTAAAGTAATAAATTGACAAACTTATTAGATTGGTCAGTCAAATAAATGAATAGATATAGAAATTTGCTAAACATTGCACGAAAATGCTAAACTAAACTTGTAAATTTGACTATTCATTTAATAAATAATTCTCGAGAGTAAAACGTTAGTAAAAAATAATTTAAACAAACATTGATCCAAAAAAAGAAAACAAAAACAAGAGAAGGAAAGAAGGTTTTTTTTTATTTTTTATATTTTGTATTCTAAAAGATTTTAAATTTTTTATTTTAAAGATTAAATTTTTTGTATTATATCTTTAATGTATTAAAAATATTATAATGTAACACTTTTTTTAATTTTTGTTATTTTTTTTTTATCTAAAACTAACTTCTTAACACTAACAACAAAATTAATTAAAAGATCACTTTATAATATTTTTAGGGTTAATTGCATTGGAGGTCTTCAAAGTATAGAGTTTGTCTCATTTTGATCCTCAATATCTTAATTGCATCATTTTGGTCTTTGAAGTGTTGAATATGTTTCTATATGCTTTCTCAAGCAGACAATGTCTAAATTGTTAATTATTTTTTATTATAAGCTTGTCAGGTAATATTTAATATGGACAAAAAAATAATTTGGATATTTTTTGACTAAATTTCTATTGAAATTTTAGTTAAATAGCTAACTAAATTACACAATTTTGATTATAAACTGTCTAAATTTTGGTCAAAAGTTATCCATATTACACATTTTTTTGTTAAGAGTACTCAAATTTTGTTTAAGAGCTATTAAAATTATTTTTTGTCCATATTTAAATATTACGTGATAAGTTTATCATAAAAAATTATTAGTAATCTGGACGTTGTTTATTTGAAAGATCATCTAGAAATATATTCAATATTTTAGGGACTAAAATGATACAATTGAAACATTATGTACCAAAATGAGGCAAATCTCATACTTTGAGGATCTCTAGTACAATTTATTTATATTTTTAATATATTAATAATATAATATAAAAAAATATAAATTTTAAAATCTTATAAGATGCAAAGTACAATTCCTCTAAGAAAGCATGATGCATTTGGCAACGTACATGATCTGCCTGCCTAGTGGGCGCTCGCAACGACAAAAAACACTGGTTGGCGTATGCAAAATTTCTCTCTATAAATAATCAGTTTATTTGGTTATTGTGATGTATCGATTATTCATTCCTTCGCCTATTTTCAGTTAGTACAGAAGAGACACAAACCGAGTAATGGAGAGGAAAGAAGAAGCTCAAGATGAAGTGCACACCCACCACCTCCCTCTTCTCACTCCATACAAAATGGGAAACTTCCAACTTTCCCACAGGTATCTCTTCTTCCTGAACTTCACCAGTTCAATTGATTTGTTTTTTCATGAACAAAATTTAAGTCACCGGTGAACGCTCTATGTTCTCTGTTTTGGTGTTTTTAGCAGAGGGAAACTGTTTGAGGAAAACCCCCATGTGAATTTCTTTGATTTATTTTGTTTTCTAGTTTCTATAAAAACTAATGAGATGCTCAGGGAAAAAAAACCGTTTATATTGTCCAGTAGTGGTAAAGAGGGAAGAGGAGAGTAAGGTGAGAATTTGAAAGAGAAGAGGGAGTGAAAGTTGGAGGACTGAGTGGTTGTTATGTGCACAATGTGAAAGAATTTGATTGGAAGGAAATTTGTTTCTTAATTTAAGAAGTGACAGAGAGGATAATCAAGCAAACGGGGAGGAAGGCCTTCCCAAGACCTCTCCCCCTAATCTGATTATGTATATATACAAACACTAGTGGACGACCTTTGCGGTTTGCGGGATTTTATCCCTCCTCTCTGTCTTCATCCTCCCAATTAGTATAATGTCTACTGGTGTTGAGAGAGAATAGTAGAGGAATGAGAGGAATTAAAACAGAAGAGGGAGTGGAAAGTTGAAGAGAGTGGTTTTTGATTGGATGAAACTGTGTTTTTTTTTTGGTTTTAAGTTTAGGTAATTAGAACTATGAGAATCAAGGAATTGGGAAAGGAAGGCTTGTTAGACTCTCTCCTAACAATTTGATTGTATTAGACAGATAGGTATATATGTCCACTAATTTGAGCCTAATTCAATAATTCCTGTTTTATTAAATGATATTAAAATCAAATTCCATAGAAACTCAATTATTCTTGAAGATGTGAATGTATGTTTGGATCTCATTGATTTGAGGAAAGCAAAAAAATTTAATGAAAATTCTCCGGGTTTTTAGTGGATTATTCAATTAATATCTAAAACCTGACACATTGACCCCTCTTCTTCAGTTTCTTTTGTAAGTATAATTCTGTTAACAAGTGTGTACTGCCAATATGTGTCAGTGTGTAAAGACATTCTCGAAACAATATCCTCAAAAAATCTCTGGCTTCATTTAGATTTTAATCTCGCTATTTGTGCACTCCATACTATCACATTTTGTGGTGTTATTGTATTTGTGAACTAAAAACTTCTAGTTTTGACGTTTAAAAGACTACGTGACCTTAAGACTTTTAACAATAATACCATTTGTTTTTTAGTTTATGATTATCAAATGCCATTTTATGTTTTCCATTCCATATTGCAATATTAATTACACTAGCAGATACTGACCATTTAGTTTAACACTTGAAAATGCTCATGTCAGAGACCAAGAGGTACTTGGTTTCTCCATTTTTTTCCAATTCATTGTCCTGTCCTTAATCTATGCAGTTGCTCATGTTGTTTGTTTACTCTGTGTCAGTGCGTAAAAAGATTTAAATAGATACTATAACAGCATAAAATGAAGTTGTTGGAAGATTGGGCGGAAAAGAGTGATCGGATGAATATCTATATTGAAGTTCTTGCTTTCAACCTTTGCTACCCATTTTTTAGTCTCCATCTATGTAATAGCAAATGCCGTGTGTTTACCATTGCAAAAGAACAGAAGACACTGCTAATATTAATTAGACTTACTAAATTACCTAAAATTTTTTATAGTTTATATATAGATTTTGGGATGATTAATTGTCTATGATAAGCAACATAAGGTGGGAAGGCTGCATCTAAGTAATAGGCATTCTTCCCAAATTTTGAGATGAATGTAACTTATATTACTTTTCTCTACTTGTGGCTTGCTTTTTCTCAATGTTTGATCATTTCATTTTCTTTATCCATTTTNCTAATGCCGCTTGTTTACCATTGCAAAAGAACAGAAGACACTGCTAATATTAATTACTTGTGGCTTGCTTTTTCTCAATGTTTGATCATTTCATTTTCTTTATCCATTTTTAGTTTCAAAAATATGGGGGTTCTTTATGGATTTGTCAGCACATATGATCCATTTTCTCAAACATCATTCTTCAAAGAACATATCAGTGAACATCTAAATGATGAGTATGTTACAACATTACTACCACTCTGTCCTACCCCTGCTCCTTCTCTCTGTTTGTGCGTGTGCGTGTGTGCAGTATGAGTATGCACTCCCCTTTATCTACACTACTAATAAAAGTACCTTATGTGAAAAACTTTTGATTCACTATTTTACCCTTATAAAGAATTTTAAATACCATTTTATCTTTTTATAGTTAAATATTTAAATTACAATCACAATTTTATGTATTTAAATCTTCAAATTACGCTCTAACTTCTCATTTAATTCTCTATTATCTTTGTATAAATCAATATCTATGAAAAAATTTAATTGACTACACAAACCTTAAAAAAATATATACATCATTATAATTTTCAAAAACGTGTTCAAAAAGTCTGTCAATATATCANACTTTATGTATTTAAAACTTCAAATTACGCTCTAACATCTCATTTAATTCTCTATTATCTTTGTATAAATCAATATCTATGAAAAAATTTAATTGACTACACAAACCTTAAAAAATATATATACATCATTATAATTTTCAAAAACGTGTTCAAAAAGTCTGTCAATATATCATTGCTCTTTTCAAATAAAAAAATAATTTTATGTCTATATATATGTTTTTCTTTCCATTTATACTACTAATAATTAATATTAATACTACTAATAAAAGTACCTTAGAAGAGATGTTACGGGTAATTTGAAGAGTTAAACACATAAGTATATTGAATATTTTATAGACCAAATTGACAAAATTCATATATTGAGGACGAAATTGATAAAAAAAAAGCATACTTTAGAGACATAAAGTGTTATTGACTCTATATTTTATCCTTATTGACCTAACTAATTCCTAATTATAGTAAGCATTGATTATAATATTGACAATTGTTGTTATTTTATTCAATAAATTATAAGTTAAAACGTAATCAAATGAATTTGAAATCAATTATTTTTATCTTTTTTCTTATAATTAGACCAACGAATCATTGAAAATAGACAAAATTTTTTAAATTTTATAGTATAATATGAGTGATAAAAATATAACTTTGATAAACTTAAGATCATATTTAATGTATGTACACATATATTATTTATATTTAGTATAAGAAAATTATTTACGTGCAATGCACGTGTTGCATTTCTAGTATTTCCTAAGTTGCAGATGTTGATCGAAAGAGACAAAAACTACAAGAGTTTATTGTTCACGAATAGGATAGCTTCACTGAAAGTCTATGAAACTGTTATATGGTAATTTTTGGCATTTACAACATATGCTATTGTAAGACTGATAAATTGTTGAATGTTTTTTCTGTTTTTTCATCATTGATCTCACAAGTAGTCATTGGCAGTTGTTAAGAGCAGTTGATTGTTTGTGCTCAGTGGTGCATGCAGTGATGGAACCATGACTTTATCCTGGGCGAGGCCAAATAATGATATAGTGAACAAATTTTATTGAACGGGATATTCAACAAGTTATTGTTGTAGACATATATTTATTTGTGTAAAACCTTTCTAAATTAATTTTCATAAGATCATGTTACCCTAAAAATGATTTTTACCTATACAAAATAAAATCCATAAAATGATTCTTACCTATTCAACAAAAATTTTGTTTTTACGGCATAATTCTTGGACCAAATTTTAAGCTCATTTTAAATTTTGAACTTTTGTTTTAAATTTTGATTTAATGCACTTAAATTTTAGTCTAAATATCTAGCTTAGTTAGCACCGTCTCATTAGTGTCACATCATTTTGCTACTTAATTTGAGCTTGTTTTTTGGTCGGTCTAGCATTACTCTTTTAATATAAGCCACGTTTTTATCCCGATTGTGTAGTAATTTCACTTGTTTTTTTTCCTTTGATCATCAAACTCATTCAAGCAAGTGCATTTGCCTATAAGAGTAATATTGATCCATGCGATTGCATCCCTATTTGGTAATTAAATGCCACCACATTAAGCTTTTTAACATATTGAGTGAAATACAATATAGATAGTGTTTTTGAAAACCTAAGAGGAAAAATATAGTTTTATGAAAGCCTAAAGGGGTTGCAGAGATTTTTGAACAAATGAGGGGGCCATGCCCCCCCGCCCTCTCCCCCTTCTTGGCCTACACATGGTTCCATATATGGGTGCATGCATTTTCATACTAGAGAATGACGTATCGTTGACTTGCCCAAGTATATATAAGCAATAGTTGCTAATCTTGTGGTTTGTATTTTTNTGACGTATCATTGACTTGCCCAAGTATATATAAGCAATAGTTGCTAATCTTGTGGTTTGTATTTTTTGTTTCAGTGTTTTTCTTCCTTATTTTGATTACATTTCTATTTAGTATTCTTTTTTCAACCATACCTTGGTAGTGTAGTTGGTGGAAGTAATTATTTAGACTTCCAATGAGCAATCGATNTAGTATTCTTTTTTCAACCATACCTTGGTAGTGTAGTTGGTGGAAGTAATTATTTAGACTTCCAATGAGCAATCGATGCTTAGTTCTGCTGCTTTAGTACTCCAGTTGGGTGGGAAACTTTGAAGATTATGTTGTGAACTTATTTGTTNTTCATGGGCACTTAAGATATTGAATTAAATAAAGGTATCCGCAAACACCCGGCATATGGACAAAAGAACAAGTTGAAGCTTGGAAACCCATTGTAGATGCTGTTCATGCCAAAGGTGGAATCTTCTTTTGTCAGATTTGGCATGTAGGGAGAGTTTCTAATCAAGGTACATTCTTGATCTATTACCTTCATTTTGCTGTCTACTTGATCACTTGTTGATTAACAACTGAACACCATTTACAATTTTATGACTCCAAAATTTTCAAGTGATTCAATGCCTATANTAGTTTCATGGGCACTTAAGATATTGAATTAAATAAAGGTATCCGCAAACACCCGGCATATGGACAAAAGAACAAGTTGAAGCTTGGAAACCCATTGTAGATGCTGTTCATGCCAAAGGTGGAATCTTCTTTTGTCAGATTTGGCATGTAGGGAGAGTTTCTAATCAAGGTACATTCTTGATCTATTACCTTCATTTTGCTGTCTACTTGATCACTTGTTGATTAACAACTGAACACCATTTACAATTTTATGACTCCAAAATTTTCAAGTGATTCAATGCCTATAAAAAAAGGGATCTGTGTTGCAAAAATCTGCCATCTGGAATCAGGAATTTTGAGGTGACAATTACGAGTTAGTAAGACCTGAAAAAAAAAGAAAAAGAAAAAAGTGATACGTGCCATGCATGTGAAAGGTCATTTTACATGACTTTCTTCTGATTTTTCAAAAAGTGGGGGGGTCCTTGTATGAGATTTTAACAAATGAACTTTTTCTCAATGTTTGGGATAAATCTGTTTNTACATTCTTGATCTATTACCTTCATTTTGCTGTCTACTTGATCACTTGTTGATTAATAACTGAACACCATTTACAATTTTATGACTCCAAAATTTTCAAGTGATTCAATGCCTATTAAAAAAGGGATCTGTGTTGCAAAAATCTGCCATCTGGAATCAGGAATTTTGAGGTGACAATTATGAGTTAGTGAGACATGAAAAAAAAAAGAAAAAGAGAAAAGTGATACATGCCATGCATGTGAAAGGTCATTTTACATGACTTTCTTCTGATTTTTCAAAAAGTGGAGGGTCTTTGTATGAGATTTTAACAAATGAACTTTTTCTCAATGTTTGGGATAAATCTGTTTCACCCATGTGGTAACTTTTATTGCTAACGCTAATAATTTTTGTTATCTTTAACCGTAATCCAGCCTACTGTATTGAATTTTGAGAACTATATCACATTTGCATCTCTTCTAAACCTATTTATCCGATGGCATCGTGCAGGTTTTCAGCCAAATGGACAGCCTCCTATCTCTTGCACAGACAAGCCATTAACTCCGCAAGTTCGAGCCAATGGTGTTGATGTTGCAGAATTTTCACCTCCACGACGATTAAGTACCCAAGAAATTCCTGGAGTTGTCAATGACTTTAGAATTGCTGCGAGGAATGCTATGGAAGCTGGTAAGCTTTTCAATCTAAATTTCAGTTTTTGACAAAATGTTTAGCTCCTCTTGAAATTTGGCAAGGTAAATGGTGTCCATCAGCAAGTTCTAAAGGATATATATAAGAGAGAGAGAGAGAGAGAGAAACCTTTGAACGAGATTTAAAGAGACCCATGTTGAATGATTGAGATCATAAGTAATCGTACTATGGGTCAAGTTTATATTAGCTTGATGTGGTTTAGATTTGATGCCAACTGTATTTTAGTCTCTAGTGAAGCAAGTATTGCCTATGGTGCATGAATCAAAGCAAAACAACTCGACCGAGTCGTGTTTGACTCGATTCTGATGAACGTTCTGTGTAAAGCACAAGGCACTCAATTTGAGGTTGACTTGGAAACATCTCGGACAACTCAGCCAAATTATCCGAGTTATAATTCCAAAATATCGCAATATTATTCCGCAACATTGTGATATGGGCTAAATACCCTGTCGTCCCCTTGTTCTTCAATTTAGCATCTACTGACTGATGCGTCTCAATATAGGAACCACGAATACTTCGGCGAGGGTTGACGTAGCAGTGTCAAACACGTGTCCGACACGAGTACGCGTGGCACACAGTCGGACAAGTGTCTGACACTTCTAGAAATGTCCTAAACAGGAAATGAAAAAGAAAATTCGGATACGGGGGGATAGGGAAAGATAAGGGAGGGATACGAGAATAAGGGGCTAGAAAAAGAAAAAAAAAGAAAGAAGAAGAACTGATCGTCAACAGAGAGAGAAGAAGAGACGGAGGGACATACCATAGCTTTGGATTTGCTTCTTTCCTTCTTTTTCTTCCTCTCTCCGACTGTTTCTATTCTTCGGCTGTTTCTATGTTGGTGCCCTAGCTGGACACATTTTTCTTTTTCTTTTCTCTTTCTCTTTCTCTCAATTGAACAGATGCGTTGTTTATTAATATTGTATAACTTATTTATTATTTGTTAAATAAATTAATTCACAGCCCACTTATTGTTAAACCCACTGCCTAATTCTAATATATTAGTTCATTACTTAATTATTGTAAGATATTAACCAACTACTCAATTATTTTTAGGTATCATTATTAATATTATTTATATAAAAATATATATAATATTATTTTAATTAACCGTATCATTGCCATACTCGTATCCTATATTTTGAAACTTTGTCATATCCTCGTGTCTTTATCGTATTGGAGATGACACCCGTGTCCGTGTCCATCCTTCCTTGGTCTTAATGTCCATTGTTGAGTCACCTGTTTTTAATGATTTGATTGTCTGACAATTATGGAGGTAGCTGGTGTATTAGGTTATTTTATTAGAATCTACCCAAAATGGTATTTGATGAAATTGGGCGTGAATTGAAATAAACTTGTTGGATTATTTGATGATATTGTTTTTGAATTGAAGTTTAGATGTACGAATGTGATGTAATTGAGTTGAAATCGTAGATTTGTTGATTAATTGGCGAAATTTATTTATATGTAATTTGACAAGTTTGAATTCGAATTTGTTTAATGGTCCTTTGAATGAAAAAAAAATGATTTATAGATTGGCCATGATCAATCCGAAAATATTAAGGGGTACATTTCCATTGGTTATATTCTCAGTGATTCTATTGCATAGGTTAAAAGTCACAAATCTATCACCTCCGAGAGGAAAGCAAATAAAATGATGACTATGTGATGTGATTTTTAGTTTAAATAATTTTTCATTTCTTAAGCATTAATGATGACTCCGACGTTATGTTTTAAAATCATTCATGGGGTGTATTGTGCCCAGAAAAAAAAGGAGAAAATTTTTTGATGACAAAGTAACGATGATGAAAGAGAAAAACAACATGTAAAGGAGATGAGCCATATTATTTGAAATTTGCCAATTTGTTTTTTTATTTTTGTAATTGGTCACTGCCCATGGCAATGATAAGATCCTCAAAACTAACAAAACTCAGGGCGGCCAGCTTGTGCTATAATGCCAAATGTTAGATTTATTCTCAATGGACCCTCGACAAGGGAAAACAAACTGGATAATGAATTTTTTGTAGGACAAATTTTACTCTTCCGAAAGGAAACATAGAGACTATTAGTTTGAATAAGACAAGTGAATAAGGGTAAAATGTGTTATTAGAATGATTTTAATGTTGTTGTCCTAGTGTCTATAAAGCCTAGGAAACTTCCTTCAAAATCTCCCCAGGAAAAGGACAAATATGCTTGCCTGTTTGGAGAAGATTATAGTTCTTCATCCACAATCATATTTTACATATTTCATGGTCTTGATATTCATCAAAATGTGACCTCGATGCCTCTCTCACAAAGACCAGGTAAAGCTTTACATTCTTTACTTCATTTATTTGTCGCACTGGCATTTATACGTGTATGTTGTATACATATCGGAAGGCATTTGTTTTATGAGTTGATATTTTTTGTTTGATTTATAGGCTTTGATGGTGTTGAAATCCACGGGGCTCATGGTTACCTAATAGACCAGTTTATGAAAGATCAAGTCAATGACAGAACTGACAAGTATGGAGGGTCTTTAGAGAACCGTTGTCGGTTTGCTCTAGAAATTGTTGAAGCTATCAGTAATGAGATAGGAGCAGATAAAGTTGGCATTAGGCTCTCTCCTTTTGCAAATTACATGCAATCAGGAGATTCAAATCCTGAAGCCCTGGGTCTTTATATGGCTGAATCATTGAATAAATATGGTATTCTCTACTGCCACATGGTTGAGCCAAGGATGGTAACTGTTGGAGAAAAAAGCGACTGCCCCCACAGTCTTTTGCCCATGAGAAAGGCATTTAATGGCACTTTTCTTGTCGCAGGGGGCTATAATAGGGAAGATGGTATCGAAGCTGTGGCTAAAAACCGTGCAGATCTTGTTGTTTATGGCCGTTTGTTCTTGGCCAACCCAGATTTGCCAAAGAGATTTGAGCNAATGGCACTTTTCTTGTCGCAGGGGGCTATAATAGGGAAGATGGTATCGAAGCTGTGGCTAAAAACCGTGGAGATCTTGTTGTTTATGGTCGTTTGTTCTTGGCCAACCCAGATTTGCCAAAGAGATTCGAGTTAAATGCTCCTTTGAACAAGTACGACAGAGAGACATTTTACATACCTGATCCTGTTATTGGCTACACTGATTATCCATTTCTTGGAAGCACTAATTAGACCTTCAAAAGAGGAGAAGGTGAAATTTGAGGGTGGGATTATTCTTGTTTGTTGTCCTTTCCCCTCTTGNTTTTACATACCTGATCCTGTTATTGGCTACACTGATTATCCATTTCTTGGAAGCACTAATTAGACCTTCAAAAGAGGAGAAGGTGAAATTTGAGGGTGGGATTATTCTTGTTTGTTGCCCTTTCCCCTCTTGGTGGTTTTAATTGTTTTGTGAAAAAGCCTTGTGTTGGCGGAATAAAAGTTGATTACTCAGCCACTTAGGAATTGAAATGGTTGGATTGTGCATTGTTAGTATGTAGCACATTAGCCATTCTCCTTTATTCATGGTACATTAATCGTAGAAAGAAATTAGTATTGATATCATCCTTATTTTCGTTTGAGTTCTATTTGGCATTGTTTCGAAAATGTCATTTTTGTGATGATCAAGAATTGAAAAATAGTAGTGTTTGTTTTATTGCGGATGAAATTGTTGAATAACATTTTATAGTTTTCCTAATAACAAAGCAAAATTTATTTCATCTCTTGTGGTTCTAAGGGAAATTATGAAAATGTATATTATACACTACTTATTTATGAGAAAATACCTTAATATAAATCTTCTTTGTATAAGTCTTTTTATTTTTTTGTAAATATTTTGTGAATTGATATACTTTGGCTATTTTTTAAATATTTCATTTGCGTAAAAAATTTTCAGTTAATTGTGGGATTTAATTTTCTATTTTTTTTTGGAATAACATGTTTAAATTTTGAACTACATCTCCCTGTTTCATTCAACAACTGATATTTTGAAAACAACACTCTTCTTCTAATTTGCCATTTCTTTATTTTTTTGATTCTATTTTTGTGACGCCCCCAAAATTGAGAGTCTTTTATAAACCTGTGACGCCCCTTAAACCGAGGGTTCTATGTCAATGTATGAAGTGTGACATTGGTTTGTAGCAGTGTCGCATTGGTTTATAGTAATGTGGTATTAAGTGGTATCAGTGTGACATTGGTTCATATTAGTGTGACATTTTTATTGTTACACTGTGACATTACCGTGTACCACTGTGCTAACGTAACATGTACCGTTATGCCAATTTGACATGTACTACTATGTTAATGCTATACCACTGCTACTTATAAATCCATCAATCCGTGGAATACTCGTGAATACTATGTAACTCGATATCACGTCGTTATGCCCCATTTACCTGGATCCATAATTTGATAAAGTTTGGGTAGAATCTCATTTATACGGGGAGCTCTACCCAAAATACAACTTGTGCAATCTTACAACATTAACTACACCGGGTCCATTTATTCATACTCATATAATATGTAATTTTATATTAAAAATAGTCCATATAAGTTCGATTACAATTCTTTTACATATATTATATGCCCAAAACACAAACTTTGCAAATGTTTTACAAAAGATGGTTTAAAAGCCATAAGTCTATTTTTCTTCGTCCTTGAGGCCCTGAATATAAGCCGTCTACCGGTGTATAATATGCACTTGAAATGTTTCCCTATAAAGGGTGAGTTATGCTCAATATGTTATCTCCTAAAGAGACTACTCCTCAACTTAAACGTATATGAAATGTCACAAGCAATTTCAACAAGCCACAAAAACATTCCAATCAAGAGTATGCAACTCAATGTTGAAATTCATTATGTCATGCCATGAGATGAGATGAGACTCACTCATGCAACTTAACCCGAGCCATTCACCGACTCCCATAATATGTGTCATGCCAATGTGTATGAATCTATTATTTATGTTGCACATCAAATGACTATTATAAATCTTGAGTCTTTCTTAGGGTGGGTATTCATGGACTTACACCAAAAATCACCCAACCTACACAGAATTTATGGGCTTCCACCAAGAGTTTTGCGTACACCCACACACTTAATGGGTTGAACCAAGGGAGTTCGTATCCCAATCATCTGGTCTTGTACCTGAGGGATCTTTTAACCCTTCTTGCTAACTTCAACTCTCTTTTCAATGCAAACCATGTGACTCAGTCGAACATTGGCTCAACTATCCCATGCTCATGAATTCACCAAGAATAGTTTTTGATCAAGCCATGAACCCACATAACCAAAGATCCAATCTAAACTTTCTCCAAAATCTCATTTTTTTTAAAACTTCGGTGGAATCCTTCCTTTTGGGTATGGTTGCATTGCCGTCGTCGCGTAGATCGACTTTAATACTTGGCCTGAAGAATTTCGACTGACGGAACTCCGTAGATCGTAAAGAGAAGTCTTGAAATCTCTTTTTTTTTTTTTCTATTTTTTCCCTCTCTTCCTCTTCCAACGTTAAACCCACTGGAATCCAGCAAAGAGATAGGTGGAAAAATCAGATTTTTTTGTTCATATTTATACCCTTTAACGCTTACTTCACCTCGCGTCACGCGTTCCTTATTCCCGGATTCGTTTTCGCCTTGAAATAATTAAATTTCATTCCAATTTAAGTTCAGGATAATTTTATATGAATTTTTTTTAAATTATAATAAAATTTTAAAAATTTTATTTTTGGGATCGTTTTTGAGGTCACCCGACACCCTGTTGTCTCGAAAAATGTGAAAAACTTGACTATGTTGTAATTCGACGAAAATTATTTTGATAACTAGATTTTGCGAAACGAATTCAACAATGAGGTCTGTTTTGTCATCCGAACTCTAGAGAAATACGAATTTTTAACACGCACCGAAGTGATAATTTACCATTTTACCATTTTTCATAAAAAATTAAAGTTTACCCGAATTTTACAATTTTATTGGTTAAGTTTTTTCATAAATTAAAGGATAATTAAAAGTTTGAAAGGATTCCATTAGTTTTTAAAAAGATTTCACATTCTCTCTCTTTTTCTGATTCTCCTTGTTACTATATCTCTCGCTCTATTTTCTCTCTTTCTCTATTTTTCTCTCAAACTTGTTCTTTCTCCCATCCTTAATCTCCTCTACGTATGTTTTTGAATATTTATATGATGTGTATTTGGAGTGTTACATTAGAGTCACAGTGTGATACCATCCATGTGCAAATCCTGTATATGGTGTCTATATGTAGTGTGACATTGATACAACATTGTGATGTCCACAGTGTGTCAATCCTTGACTTACACTATGATACTTTTCATATGTCAAAACCTGCATATGTTGTTTGTATACAATGGATATTGATGTCACATTATAATGCTCACAATGACCCAGCCCTACATATGTATTTTACAAGTAATATGACATTGGCATTACAGTGACAAAACTCTCATTTTCAATAAATTCCAACGATGCTGATGGCGTGTGTTATTTATAGTGAAACCCTCAATAATAATAGATTTCTTTGACACCCAAGAATGGTGTTTGGGGTAGATATTTATGTACCGTTTGATTTCAAAATTTTCTCCTCAAATCGTGGAGACTCCAGAGCCAATGGTGGAGATATGCAAGCAGTTGTTGTTTCTTCCCATTCTTTCCTCTGGTTTCCTTAGACAAGTAGGAAACATTTCAAATTGAAAAAGAGTTGTTTTGGACTTTAGCTATAGTGAGTGGATTTTTTTACAAATGTTTTTTTTAAAAGTGTACTTTTCTCCTAATAATTCTAATATTGTATAC